ACAATCATCCTGAATTGTACAAATTACCCTAACGGAACATGTATATTCTTGAGAATGTTCGCAGAAAATCGAGATTCCTCGAATATTCTCAGAATCTACGTAATTTCCGTGTGCCGTTAGGGAGAAGAATTATAAATAACGGGGATATATCCAAAACAGTTAAGTTAAGAGCAGAAGATGGAAATAGTGAAGAAATGCCATCGAAGAAATTATATTATTATTTTTTATAATGTATTATTGTACAATATATATAATTTAATTCAATAAAAATTTCAGCAAGGAAACAAAGAACTAAAAAGAACTGTAATTTAAACGGCTTACTTTCATTGTCTAGTAATCCAGAACCTTTATTAATTATTTTAGTGGACCGGGCCGATATATTCACTAGGTCTGATTAGCGCTGATAACATGTTCGCCGAACACAGGTAGGTAATGTAGCGTTCTTATTCGCGTGGAAAAATGCAGAGAGATCGATCCGATCCAAATACATAGGAGACCTATTATATCAGTACTGATATCGCTCATATGATGAGCGGTATCATGTGATAGCGGAGAATAAATTCAATTTCTCCCAATACTTTCTCTAAACGTTACAAATGCTTACACATCACTAGTAACACTGGTAACGATAATAATTTGACGGAATTATCGAGAACAAAAGCATAGGATGTTTAGAGTATGCATAGGAGGGGGTGTATGTGAGAGCGTTAAACGGATCGTAGAATCGAAGAATAATTTTTAAAATATCAGGTTATTTTCTAACCATCTCGCAGCTGTTACTGAGTGATGACTGAGAAATGACTTGTTATTTCCGAACTGAGAAATGACTTGTTATTTCCGGAATTATTTTGAAATTTTATGTAACACATCGGAGATATCTTGTCGCATATTTTACAGGTTGCAGAATTACGAAACTATTATGATTTTTCAGGGAAAGGTAAAAAGTAAGACTATATATATCGCGAGAAACTTATTGCGTGTCATTTCTCGCTTATGACATAAAACTGATATGGCTGTCGAAAAGAGCAGTCTTAAAAAAGTCTGGAAAATTCTTTTAATTTTGATCAGGAATTGTAGAAAGTTACATTACAGATGAATTACTGTTTCTTAGAATTATTAAAACGTCATGCCAGTTTCACAAACATTTGTGTCCAATCTATATAACCGATGCTAATTAGCCGTTCACTAATTTAATCCCCCATTAAACATTTAACAAACCACAACTGATACAGACTTACATATATTTTGGAACAATAAAAATGTCTTATCTCTCATATCGGTTGATAATAATAGTTGAAAATAATTTATTTCTTGTATTATTGTTACTGGCTATTTATTACGACTTAAGTTATAATTAAATATGCCGTTGAAATTTTATTAGACACATCGTATTCAGCTGTACGTTCCCTTCGATTAGTTATTTACATATGTGTATATAAATGATAAGAATGTTATAGAAAAATATGTTATTAATAAACATCGTAAATAAATGTAAATCTTTAATATGGGGCTACGCAGACGGCAAATTATAATCGTTTACATGGAGAAATAAATTACGACAAAGAGGTACGCAAGAAGTAATATTATGTCCATTTTACTGCGACAAAAGAACAGCTACAAAATTTGCTGGTAATGAATGAAATAAAATTAGAGAAAGTATACGAATTAAAATAAGTGTCTTGTGATTTTTGATAAATTATACGATAAGAATACAAAATTAGGATTGTATCGTATCTACGTATCTACGTATCTATACAATAACAAGCAGCAGCACCACAATATATATTAATCAGTAATCAGTATACGATATACTAATTACTGATTAATGTATATTGTGGTGCTGCTGCTTGTTATTGAAAATGAAGTTTTCTAAATCAAGCTTACATACTTATATATAGATATGTACCATATATAAGAAGGCAGTTGACAAATTATTTCTTTCCAATTGAGGCAATTAATGCTTCTACTTTAGCAATATAGTGCTCCTTTGCCGTTTTTGGTTCCATATTCTTTTTGCCGTTCCAAGCATCCCATTTTGCATTTCCTTCAAAATCCAACATATGTGGCCTCTCTAGAAAATAAAGTAAAAAAAATTGGTAAAATTACATTATGTATGAACATGTTTTAGTAATGAGTCATGATAATAATATGAGAATTTTGCAAAAAATTACCTGTATTACAATCACCAATGGTGGATTGTTTGTATAATGCATATAATTCAAGTAGATTCTCAACTGCTAGTTGTGCAGTTAGTTCTTTTGCTGCTCTTTTAGCTGCTGTATTAAATCTCTGGAGAAATAAGTATTTTTGTAATAATTTCGCTATTCAACAAATTATAGTTCAATAAAAAAATATGAAAATGCATAATTTTTATAATAATTTGTCGAGACAATATTTATGATTATGATAATATAGATGCTTCGATTTTTCTCCTTTGTCGACATTTGATTGATATAAAGAGGGCTACTTTAACTTCTACGTGATGGAGTAGCCGGTAAAATTAACGTACGACATAAATAACCTTAACCTATTTTAACATTACGCAATTGATCGTGCCAATGTAAAAACGTTTACAAAAGCAGAAACGTTTGCAAAAACCGAATGACAGAAACATCATTCTACATTTATTTATTCTTCCATTTAACGTGAACAATTCGATGTAANGTAATTGATATAAAACGGACTACTTTACATGATGGAGTAGCCGGTAAAATTAACGTACGACATGAATAACCTATTTTAACATTACGCAATTGATCGTGCCAATGTAAAAACGTTTGCAAAAACCGAATGACAGAAACATCATTCTACATTTATTTATTCTTCCATTTAACGTGAACAATTTGATGTAACCAAAAGAAAGCTCCATAATGTCTCATTCGCGTACAAAATATAGAATTATGAGTAAAGAAAATTAGTTTAAATTCGTTATCCTTACTTCGTCCAAAGACATAATGGGAAATTTTCGTTCGAAATTCTCGATGTAAACTACGAGGAATCGTACGGGAGATTGTAAAACACTTGCGACAGTGCTGTTATAAAAAAATAACTGCGTACTATATTACGTGGTGTCTCTGGATTGGATGTGGCAATTAATTTTTCACACGGCTATTATTGATTTTTAGAACTAAAAAAATATCGATAAACCTTTTGTTAATTTTCGTTAATTTATTTGGCAATGATACAGCACATAAAAATATAGACGATGGTTGTAGATAAAATTATCTAAATAATAATCCAGATGAATAATAATAAATCATCTTTATCTAGTGGAAGAAATACATTCATCTTCATTTTAGGTAAAAAATTTTATTTCATTTAAAATTTAAATGAAATAACGTTATGGTCCATATATGCTGAACTCACTTTTTGATCAAATGAATTAAATAATATGGACTTAAGACCAAAGTATTGAGATTGGAGATTAAATTTCAACGAATCAACAAATTTCGGTTCGTCTTCTTTGGTCTGTTTTTTTTTTAGCTATAATGCAGAACAGATGAAGTAAGTTAGGGCGAGACAAAATATGCTCATCTCCCTCTAACTTATTGCATCAGCAGTGGAACTAAAAAGAACAGACCATTTATTTCAATTTATCGATCCAAATCAAAGGTTTTTTCACGCAACAATGCTTGCCGTGCTTGCGGCGAGAAACGATGCAATTAACATGCTGTTTTTTCACGCGAAGTTTATTGGCTGCCGCGTTGCTTCTTGCCGCGCGGCAAGCGTTGCCAGAAGCCATTAACTTAGCTGATGGAGACATTTGCACGCTGTCAGCGCTAACGCGTAATTTTGCCTTCGTCCCTCCTTAGATGTACGATAGATTGATTCGTTAGTGCTGATTAGCGTTAATAGCGCACTCTTCGAACGCACCCAAGGTCGTGCCACCCATAGTTAGGGAAACAGAAACAAACATTTTAATCTATATGTTATTTCTCTTGATAATTTAAAATGCACGATAAAATAAATATTGTCATAATTTCAATAATAATATTTTCGACGTAATTATTTATTTTTACATGACCTATTTTTTGCAATATCCTAAATATTAGATTGAATATTTCTAATTTGTTATGATCTAAAATAACAATTATTAGGGTTACGTTGTTATAAAACTTTTATTAAGTTTATTTTGTAAGTTTTATTATACATCATTGTCTTTACACCGCGCTCTGATTGGTGTATTTCCACTTATTATAGGAAATTCATCAATCAGAAGGCAATATTTTAATCCAGTAAGTAATCCAGCACGAAAACAAGCAGCAACGTAAGCCGCTGGCCAGCACAACTCTGAGGGTGCATTCGAGGAGACGCTATTTAGCGCTATCACGTTATTCTTTCCTTGATGCACATGAGTAAAGATTAATATAAAGGATAAAGATAAAATTATGCTACTGTAATGCTAAATAGCGTCTCCTCGAACGCGTCCCGTGCTGTTCTCATCAGTTCAGTCCAAGTGCAGCTAAAAAGAACTAAAACTTTTGTTTTTCTTTAACTTATTAAACCAGTTCAGCAGTGCTGCTATAAAGAACAGACCACATGTGTGAATGCCTATATCGTGATGTTATATCTTTTTTTATTTCGAGTATTAATTATATTTTTTATATTATAGAGTATTAAATCGAGTATTAAATATATTTTTTATATCGAGTATTAATTTATGTTATCAGATTATAGTGGTGAAAATAAATAACATGGATGAGGAAGATGAAGATATCGTGATAGAAGACTTTATATATATATATTTTAACCAAAGAATAACATTTCTTAACCAAATAATAACATTTCTTAACATAATAATAACATTTCTTTGGTTAAAAAAAAATATATATATATATTTTAACCAAAGAAATGTTATATCAACCACCTGTGATCCCAATTTTGTTTTTACTTCGCTTAAAACGGAATGTTGAACGGGTAATAAGGGCTGGTATCCGAACTGAAAATAAAGACAAAATCATTAGCGTATTACATCGTGTGAC